AAATTTATTTTGTTTTAAAATAATTTAAGAACCAAAAATCACTAGGTATAGATGGCATTTTGCCACAAAGCAAGGTCCAAATTCGTTCTTTTGACATCATCAATGAAAATTGATATATATTAACTTTTAAAAATTGAGAACTTATTAAAATTTCAAAATTGTTTTGATAGAGCTTTGGAGTTCTGGAAAAATCGAGCTATTTTTCTTGTAATATTTTAGGATTTTCATTAAGATCATAAACTCAGGTGCACATTCTCTGATAAATAGCATTACCATACCATTTCTATTTTATCAGAGTATTAGACCTTCAATCTAATGACTAATTTTGGCTAACATACAAATACAAAAACCAATACGTACACTAATAGTAATTTCCATAATTTGTGTATCCAACTATTCAGAATGACTGAAAATGTCAAAAAAAAACAGTTATGAAATTGTATTTTCTGGTGAAATCATAAACTTTCCCTTTGTCAAAGTAAAAATGTTAAATTGTAATTAGTAGGTCATAAACCAATTGGTAATTGATGATAAAGAACTACTATACTCCATATAATTAGTATTATCTCAAGTAATATACGTTTAAAAATAGTGCAACAGTCATATGATTTGTAATCCTTCATTCTGGTCATATCTTTTGTCCAATTCTATTTACAAGTGAGTTTCCAAAAAATCAGATAATTATTACCGCGTTTTTTTCACAAAACTGGCGTTTGCAATAAACAAAAGCGCAATTATCAAATACTACTTAAAGAATGACTAATTGCAATAAATTGTACATAATAATTACCTCTAAACATATCAGCAAAACTTTATTGTTGGTAAAGATAACATGTACGCGTTTCTTTGTAACAAAACCGATTGACTTGAGTAGAGAAAAGTCAGTTACCGGCGTGCTCTATCCGCGAACAGAGCAAAGGATTAATTTAATAAAAAAATATTGTAATAATAGTAAATTATACTTAATAAATATATAAATGAAGTTATTTTTTTGGCACCAGATAAATGTGTTAAAATAAAATATTGTGTAAAAATATTGAAACAGTGATAAGAATTTGAATTGCAAACAGTATTACTTTAGTTATCAATAAGGTGAGTCGTATTTGCTCATTAATATTCAAAATTTATTGTCCTCGTTACCAAGTAGGTTTTTACTTATTTCAGAAAATTACATCCAAATTCTTCATGATACTAATTTTAATTAAATAATTTTCTATATTTTTAAGTTTTTTCTTCAAATTATTTCTGATTTTCACAATTATTTAAATATGTTTCGGATATAATGTTACCAAAAATGTAAATGGCTTTCCTTGAAACCACATTAGCACTTAATTTGAATTTACAGTTGAATTTATATGATTATATGAATATGGATATATATATATATATATATATATTATATATATATATATATATATATATATATAAATCTTAGGATATTTGTATTGAAAAATGAAAGAATTTAGTACAAATTATCAATATTATTATTAATATTATCATTGAATACCATTATAGTGAAAATGATCAATAATTAGTTAAATAAATAATTGACTTTGTACTCTCAAATTTACAAAAAAATATTTTCTAATTCAAATCATTATTTAGTAAAATTTATATAAAAGATCTTATTTTCAATTTTGATTATTGTTTTAAATTTTTTATATATTTAAAATATTTATTTTATATTTCATTCGATAATCTTGATATTTTGTATTAAAATTAAAAAGAGCATAACGACTTTGAGGCAAAATATTTAAAATATATAGTAAGGTTAAATAAGTTAATAAATTAAAATAAATAATAAGTAAGTTGAAATATTCGTTCATGTTTAAAATATTGAAATAATTATTTTATTAACTGTTCTATAATATTTGATGGTAATTACTTGTATTAAAATTTACCAAATTACTTGTATTAAAATTTTAATATCTTGTTAGTATTATAAACTTAACGATTGTATAAGACGTATAGTTAAGTTTTTTAAAAATCAGTCAAAAAACGTTACACAATTATATAATGAAATTCCTCGACGTTTGCAGTCATTCTGAATCGTTAGGCATCAAAATTAAGATAAGTGTGTGAGTCAAATCTGTGTGATCAAATGATGTTTTCTCAAAGACGGCTCCATCGATTTTTAATTTTGGCATAATTGACCTAAATAATTCCCAAATATTTATTTCAATATTCACAGATTGCAACCTATTGCAAATATACAAGTTATAATTTTTCTTTCATCAGAAGATATATTTTATTACATGTGTGGGCAAAAATGTATATAAATGAATGAAACATCACATCAGACTCGTTTAGAAAAATAAATTTCAATTAAGTGCTTTCATAAGAAATTCTTACACTAACCAGCCTGAATTTCATTCTTTAAATAAAATGGCCTCGGTAAAATTCAAAGAGAGCAAAATCTAATGTAAATATTTACACACGATACTGGCAAGTTCAAAATCCTAAAAAACTCGTATTACGCAAATCAGAAAAGTCTTAAATTGGCGAATGGTTGATAATGTATTTAAATTTAAAAAAATGTAAACGAAACCTACTTTTATGAGTTGATTTTATGAGGTTCCTCAATCCACATCTGACGTCTTTGTTTTAATTAGAAAGAATTGTGTAATTTTGAAAGTCACGCTACAATATAAAAATTGAGAAATTATAAAAAAATTACTCGTATTTAGAAGTTCACTTGCAATAAAAATCCATACATGAATTTTATTTTTACATCATAAAAATACATATCTCATTAGTTAAGTCAATTACTGAACTCATGCAAATTGTCTTAAGGCAAAACGCCTCTTATACCTAAATTTTAAAATATATACATATATATATATACATATATATATATATATATATATATATATATACTCGTATATATGAAATTTAGATTATTTATAAATTAGCATAATATCAAACACTATATACGAGTTAAATTTTCTTATGTAACTAGAACAGTAACTTTTACTAATTAATAAAAATACTACTATCTTCGATAAACATGGAAAATGAAACTGATAAACGACTTGGAATTTTTTAGAACTGATATGCCATAATAATTCAACCGTATATTTTAACTAAAAATGCTATTTCTATTAGTTTCATCGAGAAAATATAAATTTTGTTTATTATTTGTATATACCACAAACAAAAACTAAAGAAAGAAGAGACAAAACTTTTGGCATGATACCACTAAATCATTGTCATATCATCATCTTTAGAGTTTATTTCGCGTTCATTAAAACTTCAGTACTTTCAGTGTAACGAAAGTTTCAATCTTCATCAAAGTTTGGCATTGTATTGTATCCAATACAAAAGTTCATCATATGAAATCAGGAATCATTAGCACCAGAAATGCATAACGTTTTTCGATAGCTCAAAAATAAATAAATAATTCAAGTAGTAATTATATTAACATATTGGGATTCCAAACAGAAGTTGGTTGGTTGGCTGAAAAATTCGATACCCTTCTCGGACAGCGCGATGTCGAGCAGTAGTGGCATCGGTTTTTAATTGAAAACAGATAGGAATGTGTTTTTCCAAGTGAAAATTGCTCTTTGGCATATTGCTGCTATATCACAATTAAAAAGGCGATTTTGATATTTCAATTCAGTTTTGAAAATGTACTAGATCTCAACAGTAAGGGCAGTCAATGAAATATTCACTAATATTAAAATTATTATTCTTGGTAATATCTAGTGCTCAATACAGCTCACAAAACACGTAATAGCAAAAAATGAATATATGATAGACCAATATCAATTGTTATTATTCAAATATCCCCCAATGACCCTGATGGTTTTCAGAATCCCCGATCGATATAAAATGCCTTCCTTTCCGATTGCTCTCTGATTGCACATAAAAAAAAAACTTTTCCTGTAGTAACTTTGAAAGAAATTAAAAAGTAATTCGAAAGAATGTAAAGCAGAACATCTAACTTTGTGATGTTGTTCGTCCATCTTAGATGCCTGAAAATTAGATTGTGAAGGAGCGCACGCAATTTTCTTCGAGATGTTATTATAAGGACGTCTTCATTTTCCCTTTTAAGATTACACCGAAGCTAACCGAGTAAATATCAGACCTTGAAATAACAAAGTGATGAAGAATGCCTTTGCAGCCTCTTAAAGGACTGATGTCTGACAATTATAATATATATATATATATATATATATATATAATTTATAAAACGTGGTTTAGCATAAATTCTGATTTAACAAATACAAAAAAGTATTCATTTGCATCCAGTAATAACATAATTAAAAGGTTTGATCCAACTCGTGCTAAAGTAGCTCGATAACAACACGTGCCTTTGAATGTGTTATACATATTGTAACAAAGATTCGTGCCGTAAATAATTATCGGATAATTAGTGACCATTATTAATTTGCCGATTAATTATTATACGGTCGGTATAGGATTTCTATGGAATTCTACAACAGTATAATATTGGCCAGAGTACTACTAAATCGCAATATGCGAGCACGAAATGCAATCGTATTTCTCAGTATGTCATAAATGTTACAAATTGACACAGATATTTCACAAACGATATATTGCCATGGTTGTATTTGATTTCCATGAATTCTGATATTCGATGGAACTTTAGAAATAAATTGGACATGATAAATGAAATTAAATTTTGATTTTACTCCTTCAATTTACCTAATTGACAACAAAATGTCTTCTTAATTTACCTAATAAATAAACTAATTCTGGATCTGAGCAGTTTTTTTCTTTTAAGATCAAACTAAGGATCAAAATTGTTACAAAGTACTAACATAACAATTTAAGTTACTTGACTGTTTGATTCAACAACAATGGTCTAACCATCTAAATTAAAGTCACATTAAGTAAATTTAAAATTAGTAGTATTTTATACCATTGGCAAAACACTTATCCAATATATCCTAATAATTAATGCAAGAGCTAATTTATAGCATAATTTAATTGCACTATCAATGCAAAACTTGACATTTTAATTTTTTTATTTCCAGCAACAACAATAACTATGGCAAAACACCAAAAAGCATTTATCCTACTACTAGTTGCATCAACGATATCCCTAGCAACCGCTAAACACCACAAAGAAGAACATCATCCAATATTTATAGACAACCCTGAGCCTTCCAAAGAAGCAGGCTTAGATTTACCAATTGCCCTTATTCCATCTGATGACATTCAGAAGAAAGATGATAATATTTTGGTAAAGAGTGAAGAAGTAAATATTGACAAGAAACTAAAACCAGCAGAACTGGTGTTTAATAAAAAATATTTTGATGACAACCCGTTGATACCACCTTCACATGATGCTTTGGTACCCAAAGTTGTTTGTGAAGAAGGTAGTAAAGACTGTGAAAAACATAAAAAGAAAGATAAAAGATCAGGTGAGGATTAATTTATATAAACAAAAGACAAATTGAATGTATATCATAGTTTGCCACAATTTAATTGTATCAAAAATTGATTATCCTACTATAGGAAGACACAGGAGACACCACAAACACAGGCGATCTCGAAGGGCAAGTGGAGATAAGAAAGATGATAAAAAAGTTGAAGACACTGATATAGACAAACCACAATCCGATGCCCCATATGATTTAGTTGCTGCTGAATCTTACGCAAGTAACCCTTGTTTGTTACCATATACTCCTAGATGTGGAGGCCCAAGGTAAAAACATTAATTAATCTCCATATTTTTACAAATATGTATCAATTTTTTATTCTTTTCAGTTACGATATTGTAAATCCATTTGAACGTCGATATAATGGTAATTACTATCAGTTACCACGACAATCACCATCCAACTACTACTTACCAGTAGTACCACCTGTTAGCATTGGTCGTTGGGTTCCAGATACATCCATTCGTTATTTTCCTATCAACAGAGTTTATTGGAATCCTGGATATCCATATGTAAGTAATAATATATCCCAAACATATTTGTAAATTGAAAGTTCATTTAAAGTTTATTTTCCAGGATAATAGGCCCTATCTACCACCTTTCAGACCAACAAAACGTCCAAATACAATTGATCGGCCAGGAGCAACAGAAAAGCCTGACATTGAAAATCGTTTCCCTGGACAAGTAGAAGACTACGATGATCGTCCAATCTGGGACTATGTAGTGCCACGAGTGCCTTCTCCAACAAAACGGCCTGCACCACCTCTAAACCATGCTCAGGAAATTGAGCAATCTAAAAGGCCAAGTGCTGGATCCAGTCCCACAAACCAAGTCCAACAGAACGAGGTAAAGGATAAATAGTAATTTACTCACGACTAATCATAATTCAACTTAGTTGTGAGGAAAGAAAGGTTTTTAAGGAACTATCTGAGATTTGTGCATGACGATCATTGAAAAAAACAAGTCCCTTCATAATTTCTTTCCATAGGGAGAAGATTAATACATTAGGAAAGTAACATTTGATGTTACAAATGAATAGCTTCAATTGTCGTTCCAAGTGCAAAGTTTTAAAAATCAATTTAATCTCCTTTGTGTACGATTTTGTACGCTGCAGCTTCTGGCACAAATACATTTCTAACTTTTGAACTAAACTTCGTGGCATATCTAAAAGCGAACGTTTTAGAAGTAATTTGCTTCGAACTTTTAAATTAATAATAGATTTTGTTGTTTCAAACTTCTGTTTTTGATTTTTAATGGCCTCTTAGGGAATGAAGGCGTGTTTTATTAGCTTTGTCATAGAAGAGTGTATGCTTTATTTTAATTGATATTGGAAATCGAATTTATTTGTTTAGACACAGTTTATTGATGTGCTTTCTATAAGGTATCTAACTACATTCTGATTTTTGTATTACCATTCTTAGTAAAGCCAGATTTAAAATTAATTCTTTGCTTTAACAAGAATTAAGAATGAAAACAACAACACTGTCAGGGATTCTCTTTATCTAAATATTAATCAGAATAAATTTTCTGATCTCTGTACTGAAATATTTATGCTTTGGAACCTATAGCATCAATCACTATTTATTTAGGGCGAACACACAACCAAAGAGATCTCATATACAAAAGTCAATATAAGAAGGGTTGATTTTCCATGTTTCGGAAAGACACTCTGATACTATGTATTTATGTATTCCCTAAAACCAAAGTTAATCGCAATCCGTACAAATATTTTTCCAAATAAATTGACTGCCATAGTAATAATGGACTAGGAAAAAATCAAATACTATATTGTATCTTCTTTTTAATGTGAAATGCACATTTCTTGGTGCTGTTCCAGTAAAGTTTGAGTTATAATCCAATCATCTATTTTCTCCCAGGGACGTCCAAATCAACGACCCAGCCAATCCCAACGCCCATCAGGCGGATTTTCTTCATCATCCAGTAGTTCATCATCTTCTAGTTTTGGAGGACAACCCCAAACAGCCCAACAAAGTGCTTCAAGGATCGGAAGATGTGTTTATGCAATTATCAATTGCTGTGATCCAAGATCAAGAGATGTACATTTAGAGTGCTTCGAGAGGCTGGATTGTCCTGGACCATTCTGGGATAGAAACCCTTGCAGTAGTGAATTGGCCATCGCTGCCTTGACGGCGGCGAATAGTATAATTGGTTGAATCATGGTTGAATCTTGACTTTGGGATTTAAATTTTGGATGAGAATGATAAATTCAATAATCTATAATGTACCAAACAGCGGCTTATAATGTGACTATTGATATCGAACTTTTGCAGTACACAGAGCAATGTATCGAAAATATTCTTCTTCTTATTATTTATGGAGAAACCTTATATGAATAATGATATAAATTATTCATACAGTTTTGAAACAGGATATAAATAATCTGAAACCTATAGCAGCAGAAATTTTAAATTTTTTGTTAATAAAAATTAGATGTCAGACTAAATTTTCGGTTGTTGACCGTGAATTTGACAATTGCAAAAAACATTGAAAACTATTGATTTAAAAAAAATTCGAGAATTTTGAAATTATAAATTTTTAGTAGGTATTAATTTGTTTACCAATGATCCAGTACTAGTACAAAAAAAATTCTATGTAGGTTTTGCAGATAAACTTTGTTTTTTTATTTTCATTACCAACGCATTATCATTTTTATAGATTTATAAGATTTTTTTATTACGTAGTTATTATTTTAATGTATAAACGTATCCCAGAAAAAACATCAACTTGTCGTTATTCATCATCGTACTTATTCATATTCCAAATATAGATATTATAATAAGATATTCATTACTTAAACAAAACTTTAGATATTTTTATATGTGATTACAACAAATTATATGTTGTCTAGATATATTTTAATATAAGTTACTAATTATTTACTCGCTTTAAAATCACTGCAAAAAATAACTAAGCTTCATGTGAAAAAATTATATTTATAGTATTATCAATTTTATGAAATTTGTTCAATAATTTAAGCAAATTTTTTATCACATGATACTGTATTTGTTATGAAAATGTCAAAATTATTTGTGTTGAGATATTTATTAAATAACAAAAAAATCACATCTTTTGTAATTTAAAAAAAACCACGTAGATTTTAGAGATGTATGCATGCTTTGTTGATTTGTATGTTGCTTGTTGAAAATATTTTTAATAAAAATATGTAAAGGAAAATTATGTATATTATTTGAAAACCCTGAAGTCGTAAGTGAAATAATACTCAAAAAAAATTTCAAATTTTTGGGATGGTTAATAAATAATAAACTAGATTGCTTGGGGCTATAGATGTATTTTGGATAATCAATAACTTTTCTCGAACTGAAGAACTTTTCATGATAATTCAAAATTATATTTTTGAAAAACTGTTATTGATGCTTTACCTATATAATCTAATTAGTATCACGAAGGACAATATATAAGATTGATAATCAGATTCAAAAATATTATATAAGTTTGTAGGTCAAATTCAGAGACAAAAGTTCTATATAGCTCAGGTTTGAATACTTGGTGTTCAATCACACAAGAGTTTGTTCATATATTTTTTAACATAGATTAGATTAAATCCTATTATCTCGATTATTAAACATCCTCTTAATATTTTTCTCTAGAGGGCAACCCAGCGGCCAACCATTCTTCTTTTTTGTATGTCCACTACTTCTTGCATGTTATTTAATTTTATATCCAACCCAGTTTCCATGATACATCAATCTTTTCTCCCTATTAATATTTTAGTGCTCCAAATATATAACCGCAAAATAATTCCACCTCGACACAATTGTGCACCCGGTCGTAGTTAACTTCTGAATACCTGATTGCCGTAAATGTAATTAATTTTTCGCCCGTGTATTTAATCAAGCGCCGAGGACATTCGTAGATTTCATTAGAATGACGCCGACGAGCAAAGGGTTGAAAGGGGTGAGAACAGGGTGAATCAGACAACCAACCTGCACCATCCAAGCCAAGACGAAATGGGGAGTGCGGTTTCATTTCAGGCATAATTGGAGAGATGAATACGGAAGATGGAGAATTATATATATATATATATATATATATATATATTATATATATATATATATATATGTCCAAACATTTGAAAAAATGTCCAAACATTTTGCAGAGCGTCGAGTTTTTAATAAAAATTAATTCATTTGTCGCTAAGTTATACCTAAAAATATTTTTTTAAATTTCAAAATTTTTTCCATGCTATTTCCATACAAAGTTTGATTGAATTGCGCACTATCTAAGAGTTAATATTAAGAGCTAAAACTTTCAGCGAATTGTTTTTTATCAATTTGGAACCATTTCAGTCCTTGAGAGCAAGGAAATTCGAAAGTGTCCATATTAAGAGCCACCCTAATATATAGCAGAAAGCATCTTGACGCCTAAACAACAGCTACGGTTTGCTTAACATTGAAGATTTCAAACAGTCATTTCAGAATTTATCGAAATATCGAAATATATTTATTTAGAATAAATCGAAAACGATGAAAAATTATTAATATATCAGAAAAGATACTATAAACCAAAGTGGCAACATTCAAGGGGTCCACAGCATATTTAAAAATGATTTAAACTTTGAATGTTAGTATTGAGCGCGGAGCCAGCCACCCATCAACCTCGCATATCTCAGAAACTATTGAATGATCCAACTTTAAATTTTGGTCACAATCTTAGTAAAATATAGTAACAATGTATGTCAAGTTTCATCAAAATCGAATCATGTATTTTTAAAAACGTACAATCTGTTTCAATACTAGTATTGAGAGCGGAGCGAGCCACCCAGGAACATCCCATATCTCAGAAACTATTGAATGATCCAACTTGAAATTTTGGTCACAATCTTAGTAAAGTATAGTAACAATGTATGTCAAGTTTCATCAAAATCGAATTATGTATTTTTGAAAACGTACGATCTGTTTCAATACTAGTATTGAGAGCGGAGCGAGACACCCATCAACCTCGCATATCTTAAAAACTATTGAATGACCTAAATTTTGGTCACAAAAATTAAATGAAAAATGAAAGCTCCAAATTGCTTCCCCTGTTACCATATTCTCTAGGTCTGTTTCCCAGCAAGCATATACCGATTTTAGATCTCAAAAGGATGCTTGCTGTGAAGAAACTTTTACTAAATGGTGAGATGAAAGCTGAATTTTATGGCAAAGTACAAATCGTGCTAAAAAAATGGTTTCGAAAAGTCTGAAGTTCGCTATAATTTTTATATCGTGTTCGAAGAAGCTATATTGCATAAAAAAATTAGCAAAAACTTGTTTTTTCTTAATTCTACGGATACTTGATGGGTAGTTGTAATTGTAGTATCAAGCATTGCGAATATTCGATTTAAACCTATACTTTTTGAGAACGCGGCACAATCCGGGCCGAAAATTGATTTTATAAAAACCCGGATCACCAGATGGTAATCCGTGACTGTTCCGGCGAAACTAGTACGTGAGGTCACTTTAATATAGGGGATCCATAACAAAACAAAAAACTTTGCAAGGGGTCCATGGCACAAACAAATTTGGGAACCTATGCTATAAACTATCCACTATCCACTTACCATCAGATCTGTGAGCCGGGCTCCTCCTCTGGTCCTTTCCCATGTTGATGGATGCCACCGATGACGTGGATCCAGTGGTGTGGACGAACGACGCTGAGCTGGTCGAGCTCTGCCTGACCGGCTGGTGCGGAGGTACCCGTCGAGCGCTGGACAGACCAGGCCCGGAGCTAGTGTGATGATGGGGCGGATGATGGTGGAATGGGGCCGTGTACTATCGCCCTGAGGGACGGCACCAGCCTAGAGGTGAACTCCCGCTTTCTTGATTGTACCAAACGCCTGGAAAAAATTATAAGATCATCAATGATAGGAGAATGATTTTTTTTTAGTTTGTGAACATACACACTCACAGACATTATATATATATATATATATATATATATATATATATATATATATAGATGAATGAGTTCTTGTGTAAGTCAAAGGTATTTTGTTTATAGCGTATTTGTTTAATGCGATGAAACAAGATTCTGCAAAACGTTTTTGAATGCTGTTCCGTTCGTGGTAGAGAATACACGCATCAATTAAGTTGCCAACCTGATATATACCTATATATAACCAATTCTATATGCTAGTAAATCTTCAAAGCTAAATTTTTTATCCTCAATACTAATTACTATGCTTAAGAAGTTTTCTTAGTCTGTTGTCCAAAACGCGCGCAGAACTCCCAACCCAATCTGAATGCGCTGAACTCAATGATCTCCTGGTCTAACTACAGGATTATAAGTAAAGTAATAAATTTTGCAATAAAATAAACGAAAAAGCGATTTGCTACACCATATTTCTTAATTAACGTCAGAGACCACTCGAGAGGAGATATAAAGCAGAAGCAACCGCATTACACGGAACAGTACGCATTTATTCATAACTAGTCGAGAGGGCTGAATATTTGAATACGGTACACTTCTAACAAATTCTTATTTATATTCAGTCCTCGGATTTCATTTCGCATTTGAGAACTGTATTGTAGTCTGTTCTGCCATTTACTTCGCTGCACGAGAGTGTCCAATAAGGTATTCAAAAGCATTCAAGTGATACATATTACACAATACAAATATTCGTAATATACATATACATACATATATACATATACATATATACATATACATACATATTTACATGTATTTATTTATAGGATATTCCAGAACTCAACGTCAACCTAAGAGGGATGATAGTATTGATCGTAACTATCATGAACAAAATTAGCAAGAAATTATCTTACATAGTTTGAAAATTATGAGCTTTTAAGTGCAAACTAGATTTTTGGTGATGACGTGATCATTTTTTTGGTTATTATAAAGTATATAATTTATATTAATGTTGTTCATTTAAACTCTGGATCCATAATGGTAAGTAATATTTTTAAGACCACAGTCAAAAATAATGACACAATGTTTTCAAGTTTTTAGGAATAAAGGCATTTTCTTGAACTCTGAATTCAAAATTTTCAAAACTGATCGAGTTTGCAAAGCTCTCCTTTAATGAAATGTTGTAAAGTGTATTGGCAAATTTCATCAAAAACATTAGATCAAGATTGTAAGCAATTGTAAATAGTGAGATTCCTAGCAAAAATATTTGAGAAAAAAAATAAAAGTAATAGTTAAAATAAAAAGATTATCGTATTTCCTCAAACTATGATTCCAAAGTCCATTCAGAGCTAATGACTAGGTACATAAAATACGTAAATAACTTTCAATTATACAAATATTACCAA